AGTGGAACAGTCGATGATGAAATCTTCAAGTTTTGTACATAATTTATGTCCCAGAGAGGTTGAAAGAGGTAATCCCCTGGCTGATGGTTGAACACACTGAGAGAAAGACCACAGCCTTGAAAACCCTGTGGATTTCACTCTATTTTGCATCTAAGGGGTCACCATGATTTGGGATTGATGCCAACTTTTTTTGTGTTTTAAAGCTTGAGGTGAATAGATCAAGACCATCTACTGCCGTTGAATTGATTCCAACTGAGTGCAGCCCTGTAGGAAGAGAGAAGAGCTACACCTTTGGGTTTCACGTTGGTAAAGGTTTCCAGGACCAGAAAGCTGCAGTGTCTGTCTCCAGAGGAGAGGCTGGTGGATTGCAACTGCTAAGCTTGTGGTTAGCAACCCGCAACCCATGATACCACAAGACTCCTTTAAACAGTGCAGAGTTGAAAGTAATGTCTGCCCAGGGTCCCTGGTGATACTATTAGGTAAGCATTGGCTTGCTAGCCACAAGACGTCTCCTTGGAAGAAAAATGAGCCGTGGGAGGAAGCTCTAGATATTCCACTGTGAGCTGGAATTGACTAGATAGCAGTAGGCCTTGGTAGCAGACAGCAGGAGTGGGGAAGGATGGAGATTAATTTTATTTATTCTAATTCCACTCTCTGATTTTTTTAAATTGCCATTTCAACCATTTTGACGTGTGTGATTCATCGATATTAGTTGCATTCATTACTATTTGAAACCACTACTTTCCATTTCTACATATCATCTTGAACAGAAATTCCATCAGTAAAGTAAGGGCTATCAGCAATCAAAGTATAATATTGCATTTTGCAAGTTGTTACTAAGCCTCCCTCCAATCCTGATGCTACATTCTTCTTCATTCAGTTCATCTCTTGGGTTATTTGCTCAGCTTACATACTGCATTGGTCTGGGGAAGGCACACAACCTGAATCTGCATCGTTGCTGATTTTCAGCCATTTCGTGTAAACCCCGTGCTACCTTCTTTTAGGAGGCCTGGTGGCATCGTGGTTACACATGAGGTCAGCAGTTCGAGACCCCCAGCCGCTCTGTAAGAGAAAGACAGGCTTTCCACACTCAGCAAGAGTCACTTGGACAGTCCCACCCTGCCCGCACCCTCATGAGGAGTCAACTTTGACTTGATGGAAGTGAATTTTTTTTTTAAGGAGTTCTAGTGGCGTAGTGGGTATCCATTGGGCTGTCAACTGTAAGGTCATGTAAGGTTTGTTTTGAAACCACCAGCTGCTCCGATGGAGAGAGGTGTGGCTTTGTGCTCCTGAAAAGAGTGACTTGGACAGTTCTACCCTGTCCTGTAGTGTCACTTAGAGTGGGCAGTGATTTTTGTTTTTTCATTTCTTATCCTCTTTTAAGGAGCCTGGGTGGCTTGGCAAGCTACATGTTGGGCTGCTAACTTAAGGGGCAGTAGGTCATACCCACAAGCTGAGCCTGGCTGCTCCCATAACCTTTGCAGTCTTGGAAACCCAAAGGAAGAGTTCTACCACTAGGTCCGTGGGTTTGGTGTTTTTCTGGATTTCTCACACTTCCTGATAACGAGCAAAGACGGCAGTCTCCGATGTGGGTTCCACCTCAGAGAGACCCGGAGTCTGCACAACTGGACCGATAACGCAATGGCTTGATGACCAGCAGTCACGTTACTTGGCCGACAATCAGTGTCCGTGGAAGTAGCAGTCAGGGAACCAGACAGCTGATTGCATTGGACAGATCTGCTACAAAAGACCTCTTTCAAGTGTCAGCATCGCTGTCACTCAAGGCTAAGTGGCACGGCCCGAAGCCATCGGACTTTTGGTTGCCTCTTCCTGCATGTGAAAACGAATGAATAAGGAAGGCCAGGAGAAGAATGGGTGCATTTGATATCTGGGGTTGACAAAAAATACCGACTTTCAAATGGACTGCCAGGGGAAGGAATGCATCTGCTCTGGGAAATTTCTCCCAGAATGCGCCTTGGATGTGGGGAAGGCCAGATCTCGTCTCCCGTCCTTTGGGAATGTTATCAGGGAGCACCGGTTCCTGGAGAAGGACATCAGGCTTGGTAAATTAGTGGGTCCT